GTGAAGTTTCCTCAATTAAATTCAATCTCGTTTTACTTGCATGCTTGTTTAGTTTAGTATTTTAAATTTTAAAACAACAATATGATCGCTGGATAATGTGTAGTTTGCTTAAGTATGGATAGATAATCGCTCGGGTTTGATAATTTGAAAATACTTGCTACACCCGGTTGAAGGTTGCACTTGGCCTACGATTGAGAGTGTAGTTAGGTACGCGTCAAGCTTTTCTAGCGTCGTTGTGGGGGACAACAATTTATCATTAAAAATAGTGACCTATTGTTAATCTAGCTTTTTCGTGCAATTTTGCGTTGGAACTTGCTTTTGCTCTCCTCGTTTGTGTCGATTAAGGTGATTTCATGTGGTATATGACAAGGATCAACTCAAATCACTTGGAGCCACTAGACCACAACATCAATCAGACTCTTCGCCATCTTGCTCGTGAGAGGGAGTTTAGGGAAGCAAGGGAGAGATTTGTGATTCCGGCTCAACCCAAATAAGAGGAGTCTAAAGAAGAAGAGGAAGTTGAAGAGGAGTTTGTGATTGGAGACATGGACAACAAAGCCGCACAAGAAGGCGATGAGGCGAGGACCATGAGGTATTATATGACTCACCGGATAATGGACATTCAACTGAGCATTCGAGTTCCACCCGTAGCTGCAAAGAACTTTGAGATCAAGACCAGTCTCACCATAATGATCCAAAACAACATACAATTCCATAGCCTCAACAAAAGGGATTTTTCCAATAATAGCACCTATTGAAAAAATTACACAAATAGCATCCAGCCCACAACATTTACAAAAATAGCACTATTGTTATCAAACCGCACCTCCAAGGTGCATTTTCTAACTAAACCGCACCTTGGGGGTGCGTTTTAGTCCACGTCAGACTGGAAACCGCACCTTGGAGGTGCGGTCTGTGTTTGGTGGGCAGCGGCCTTGGAGACAGCATGATGAGGAAGCGATCAAGTGGCGGACCGCTTGCCACCTCAGCGATCCTTGCCACGAATTGAAGACCGCAACGCCAGGGAGTGGTCAAGCCTCGATCAACGCAGACCACATCGGGAGGGCGCGGTTTCTGGCTGGGAGAAATTACCAGACCGCCCCTGGAGGGTGCAGTCTGATGGGAATAAATACCCCCTCCCCCCCTCTCATTTTTTCACACCACAACCATTCTCCACTCTCTCTCTCTAGAATTATCTCTCTAACCCCTCCCGTCCCCTCCCAAAAGCCTAGGAAGTAGTGGTCTGTTGGTTGCGGCTAAGTCCGATCTGCCATCAGAAAACATTTCTTTGGTTTTTCCCTCAAAACCCGCCCGCCGAATTTCTGTCCGACTTTCGCGAGAAAATGGACGAGTGGTTCCAAGAAGAGAGAGTTTATTATGATGAATTTCAAGAGGATGAACTCATTATTTTGGTCAATTTTTGTTTTGTTATAAGATTTTTAATTAATATATGTACTAACCTTGTTGTTATTCTCTCGTAGGTTGAGGACGACGTGAATATATACAACCAACGGTACTATTTGGATCAAGGGCCTATTGATCCGACCGACTTGTATGACCAACCCAACCATCGTTCAAGAGATGTTTGGAACGATCACCCGGTACATACAATCCTTCATCATTTATCTTTCTGTTATTTTGCTAATGTACTTAGTGGAATATAAAATAAATTTGAAATAATTTAATCGTATTGGTTGTTTTCAATAATTTAATAGAATACATAGCGCCACTTACTTCGACTCTTTATAAAGAGATGCACGTCTAAGGTAATGAGGGTTTTAAGCGATTATCATGATCCTCCCATTTCCTGGGAAAATCGGGTATTAAGAGATTCTCGGATCCCCTTTTTTTTTGTCAAAAAGGCTGCGTTTCTAAGAAGATGTATACATCTTCTAAGAGTCTAACGAGTGTTGCATTGTATTCGATTAAATTATTTAAAACAACCAATACGATTTATGTTTATGTGTACTTAAATGAATTTATTAATTTCAAATGTTTGAATATGTATGTATCTCTTTAAATTATTATTCATTTAGAATGTTATTTATGTCAATTAATTTAGTATGTTTGTGCATTCCGTTGGAAGTCCCCGGGAGTCAAAGGGCGTTTCACCACCGAGATGGTCGACAAGGTACTCACGATTGGCCCAAGAAGTTGGCGGAAATGATCGCGGTATGGGAGAACCGACAACTTCAGGATAATGTCACTCCAACAAGTGTGGGTCGAATGGGGTATCATGACCCATACATGGATAGATATCGACAAACATCAGTTCGGTACGTGATTCCGGAGGGTGCGGCCGATGGTGCATTGGTAAGTATATTCCGTCTAATAAGATTAAATTTATTGCTTATTTCATTTTGTCACATCATTAGTCTTATCTTGCTAACCTTTTTTGTGATTTAGGCTGATGGGATCGAGCGGATCAAAGCGTTGACCCATGGGAAACATGAAATGGGACATGAAGATGTGAGCTTCATTCGGAAGATGACAAACATTCTTCTTGGCTGTATCAGAGCACAGGGTCGTGATCATCGTAGATACTCACCCATGCCCGCACTGATGCCACCTCCGGTACAAGTTGATGTCCCCCATCCCCCACCACCATACGAGAGAAAGAAAAGCAAGAAGGTTCGGGAAAGACCTCATTAGCCCGAAATAAAGCCTTTCTCGACGTGGAGAGTGCCGACCCCCTTGGTTGTGGCACACGGTGGCGGTCCGAGCTCACATCAAGATCCCCGTCCGAGCCACTCCCAAGATCCCCGCCCGAGCTTGTCCCAAGATCCCCGCCTGAGCCACTCCCAAGATCCCCGCCCGACCTACCATCATGAGCAAATCTCGAGCTCATACAACAATCCCCGCCCGACCTACCATCAATCCCCTCCGAGCTACCATCAATCTCCATATGATCCCCACCCGATCTCATACAACGATCCCCACCCATCATACTATGATCATCGCCATACATACTATGTTCCCCGCCCAAACTTCTTCAACGAACCCCACACATCCTCGGGTAGTTGGCATGATGGTTCCTCCACGACTGCGCATCACGACTTCAATCCCATTCCTCGCCCACATCAGCAGTGGCCTCCTACCCCTCACCGTATGAGCGTCGATGTCCCCCGCTCGACCCCGGAAGCGCAACATACCACGGATCGTCGCCGACACAGCACCGACGAGCGTCCTAGCACGACCCAGCGAAACTTGCCACCGGAACCACCGATGGTCACTCCCGCCGGCCGTCGTACAAGGAGCCAGAAAACTTTGCAGCCCATGAGTCCCAGGGACTTCCTTGAGATGGATTTTTAGTTTTATAATTTTAAGTGTTGTTTTTAGTTATGTTTTAATTATATGTACTTGAAACCCTTCTATTTTAGTTTCTTTAATAGAGTGTTGTTTTAGTTTTGATTTTAGTTCTAAGTTCTTGTCTTTCTCTATTTTGATCGTGTTAACTTAAGGTTATAGTGTTAATTGAGGGTTATTTGAAAACACGAAAGTTCCAAGCATCATAGCTCTAACTCTGACAATAATTGAAAACATGCAGCCCCACGTCTGTAAATCTGCATGGCTGCTTGTCTGGTGTCGAAAAATAATTGACACACAAACCGCATTGGGGGAGGGGGGGTGCGGTTTGTGTTGCCAAAACCGCACCTTGAGGGTGCGGTTTGTTTTTAAGAAGCAAAACCGCACCCTGGTCAGGCCTAGACCGCATCTGGGCCATGCGATTTGGTTAGGTCAGACTGCAAATCGCGTGGCCAAGATGCGTTTTTGGCCCAAAAAATTAAAACGCACCCCCAAGGTGCGGTTTAATGACAAAACGCACTAGGGAGGTGCAGTTTACATGCAAAACGCACCTGGGGGTGCGGTTTATAAAAAATGGTGCTATTTTTTGTAATTTCTACGAAATGGGTGCTATGTTTGTAAATTTTTTTAAAGGTGCTATTTCTGGAAAATCCCTCAACAACAAGTCACCAAGAGAGCACATCAACCATTTATTCGAGTTGACGGATGACATGAATATGAATGGCGTACCTAAAAAAGTCTTTAGGTGGAGACTCTTTCCCAACTCTCTAAGTGGAAAAGCTTGAACTTGGCTCAACAACCGACCCCCTATCTCCATGGGTTATTGGGATGATTTAGTCACCAAGTTCATGTCACAATACTTCCCGCCTTCTAAAATGACGGAACTTTGAAGAAAGATCACCCAATTTGCTCAAGAGGAGGTGAAATATCATTGTATTCTGGCAGATTTCTTCTGTTGGTTTTTGCATAAGAATAATCATTGTATTTAAAATTGATATAACCTTCTTGGTGGTGCCTTCTTACCTTTGGAAGCGTGTTTTTTGGTGGAAGTTTACTAGCCTCTTAGTGTTTAAGTGTTTGGTTAATTTGCAGGTGAGTCGTTTCATCGATCTACATCCAGAATATCATGGACTTTGCTAGTAAGGTTGCTTTCTTTTCATAATTGGGGGCAAGTTAAATTTTTTTTTTTTTTGCAAGTGAGCCACTTCATTGCCATCCAGAATATCTTGAACTTTGCTAGTCAAGTTGCTCTCTTTTCTGTTCTGTGTACCATGCTAATGGATAGGGTCTCATTTCGTCTGCTCGATTTGCATGGTTCACTACGCTACTTTCAACTTCAATGGAGTTCGATCCATGAATTTCTCCCTGCAAAGGATAGAAGTTAAGTCAAGGATTTGGACCATGATGAAAATATATCAAAGAGCTTCACATGCACAGCAAAAAGATCTTTCTTCGATGTTCAACCTCTATTTGGTCATCGTCTTTATCTCCTTTTTTCTTTATATTCATTGCCTGAAGAGGTTATTGTTTTCTATCTTCTTTGTTCTTGTTCTAAATATCTATGAAAAAAAAAACTCAGTAAGAGGTTCTTATGAAACATGTCTCCATATTGATAGTCTTAGTTAAGAAATTATATTAAACTGACAATAAGTTGTTGTCATAGGTTGTTCCCAATAACTCGAGTTGTTGGGAAAAGGTTATGTTGGATCTTATTGATAGGGCAAAAGCGTAATGCCAATTCCTATCTTGTAGTAAAACCGGAAAGTTTGGGTATCGTCTCTCAGGGACTGGTACAACCTTATATTCTATCAATTCTATGGAGCAAACTATAGGTGAAAATGGTTTGAGTGAAGAAACTACTAGCTAATAATTAAACAAAACAAGCAAATTAAAGTTGTCGGGGAAAATCAATGGGAGAAAGTTCTGGGAGAAACACCGGAATTCACTACCTATCCTATCCAGATTAATTCACACATTCCAATCAATTTAATCCAACTCTCTATAGCCAGGATATCACGAATGTGCTAGCTATCCCTGTCGGGAATTACTACGTACTAAACAATTAATTCAAATCCTACTGTCGTAGCTCAAGGACTTAATTATTTAGCCTGAATACCGATATCCTATTTAAGACCGCATAACACCTTATTTAATCCACTGTCGCTTCGATAAGTTACTATGTCACATGAAATATGTTCAGTTATTAGGGTTTCACTGTCGCTAATAACCTAATTAACTACGATTCATTGTATTGGTGGCCAGTCAACACAAAGCATTAAGTAATTTCATGCAATAGAGATTGGAAGAAAAGAAATATGAATCAATCCATCAAATCAAGAATTAGCTACATCCTATGGTGTTTCCCCCAGAAATCGGGGTTTAGTTCATGATGAAATTGAGATAAAACAATAGGGTTTTGATCATCATGTTCTAAATCAACAATACACAACTAGTTCGGTTCAGATAATCCAACCAACTAATCGCTCTCGTTGAACTCAGCTCAAACCTTGGAGAAGTCGATCGAAATTCGCCTGCTCGCGTTTGCTCTTGCTGCCTGTGCCCTTTTTCTTTCGTCAAATAATTCCGCCCCGCGCGATGCCTCTGTCCCTTTCCAAGAAATTCGCCGCCAATAAAATTGCCTCTCAGCCAATTCTGTGTCTCTTTCAAAAATTAGCCTCCTCCCTCTTCTAATCCCCCAGAGAATCTCCTTCTAATCCCCTTTCAGATGTGATTATTAGTGCAGTGGTACAAATATCAGTGCAGTGGTACAAAAATCAAGATCTGGAAATCAAAAAGTTAGAACTGGAAATTAAAAACTCACCGCGAGAGGGGCTTTGGGGAGAAGGGCAGTGCAACGACAGGGGGTGGTGGCAACGACCCTGGAGGATGGTGATCGTAGGAAGGCGGCGGCTGGAGATAGTAGGGTGGTGGTGATAGGCGCTGGAGGAGGACAGCGGCAGGAGGGATGGTAGTGGCACAAGTGGAATGCATGGAGGAAGAGCGAAGAGAGAAGTGATGGTGGCGGCGGCGGCGAGAGGAAGAGGCCAGAGGGATGGTGGTGATGGCTGCGGAGGTTTTTGGTTGCTTCAGAATACAACAGGGAGGGTTCTGGTGGAAAGAAAATCAAAATGGAAAGAAAAATAGATGAAAGGGAGAGAGAAAGGGTAATTAATTGCGAATTTGGGGATGCTTTTTTTCTAAATGGCTAATACTCGCCCTAACTTTATTATAATCGCCCTAATTTAAAAGTGAAATTTACTTATTGGTTGGGAATACCACCTCATCAATCCCACTTGATACTCCCGGTGTAGACAATAATTTCTCTTAGAAAAATATATATTCATTCATCCATGAAGAAGAAAATATTTATTCATTTCACAAAGATGGTTTCAGCCTAGACACAAGAAGCATAATCGTTCATTTGATTTTACATGTTGAAAACTTCAAACTTGTACATAATAATAATACATATGTATATATTAATCAGTAAAATCATACTAATCGATCATGGATACACATAAATATATCATTAATAATAATTTCCTTCATTGGCTGTTCTAATTTAATTAAGCTTGCGGCAATTCTGTCGGACTTCGCCTTGAGACCCTTCCTTAACATCGAGCCTGCCCATCTTAACCATGGCCTGCTGGAAGTCGAGGAAGAACATGGCCTGGTTGAAAGCATAGCCGTTGACCACGTTTCTGGTTTTGGGGTTGGAGTACAAGGTCTGGTCGGAGAAAAGCAGCCCTGTCTTTCTGGACAGGGTGTTGTAGTAGAGGTTGTCGAAGGTGTTCCTCGTCATGTCGAAGGGCTGCTCGGCTTTGTCGCCGGCGGCGCAGGTCTTGGAGAGTGAGGTGGCGAAGTTTGTGTCCATCATGGTTGGATCTGGATTGCTGAGACGACTGTTAAACGACGAGCACCTTGCGACTCCTAATGTGTGCGCACCTGCACCACAAAAATAGATATATAAGAGTATTTTATATAATTAGAATTATTGGACTTGGACAGCGGACTTGTAACAACTCGACCCGATGGGTAACGTCTGTTAATTTAATTGAAGTGTATGAACAACTTTATTTTAAAGATTATTTTTCTTTTAACTTTGATTTGGAAAGGATGAGAATTTTTTTGGTTTGTACCTCGGTATTAGGCTATCGCATAAATATTATATATTGTTGCTGTTAATTGAAGTATCGGATGGTATCCTAGTCGATATGGCACATATATAAAGTATTTGTATATAATTGGATATGATCCATTGGTTTTGAGGAATCGGATGTAAGAAGTGTGATTAAAATACTTTTTGTTTATTTATTTATTTTTTTAATCTACTTGTCTCTCTTCTGCTTTATCTTGAATTTTGTAAAAATTTAAATAAATGAAATGAGTCATTGTGATCTATGGAATTATATAATATTTCGAAAAAAATATTTTGGCTTACTCATTACCACTCATTACCACCCTTTACCAACTTCGTTTTTAACTCAAATTTTGTAAATTTTTGCATAAAAGAAACATATTCAGATATACCATTTACAAGCATACCATTTACATCATGTATATTCACACTATTATATATACAATCATTCTATACTATGATATATTCATGCCAGCATGAGTCAGACTAGTGTACTCCTGGAATATAACCTTACTCCAGGTACTTCTAGTGAGATATCTCTATCTAGATCATAAATTAAATATAGTACATGGTATGATATTATATTCTAACTTTTAATGGATAAACCGCAAGTCCCGATTCTCTAAACTCAAACCCAAAATTCAATTTAATAAAAAAATAATATTAATTGACCATTGAAATTGATTAGAGCTTAAAAAAAATCTAACAGTCTTATCATATCGAATATGATAGTATAACAGTCAATACCACGTGAACATAAAAAAAAAAAAGTGGCGATTATGGAAGTATTTAAATGGAGATTTGGGTTGAGAAACATTACCAGAAAGGGCAACCATTTCTTGGGCAGAGAAGCCACGTTGGCCAAAAGTGCGGATGAGCTCGGAGGCATTGAGGAAGGGAGACGGCAAGTTGATGGTATCCTCGATCTTGGACCTCTTCCCGTCCTTTCTCCCCTTGGGTATTTCGTACACCGGACCTCCGGCAAAGAACACGGCATCCCTCGCCGCCATGGCGACGATATCGGCGCAGGAGACGACGCCGGGGCACTGCTGCTCCAGTTTGTCCTTGGCGTCGTCGATGACCTCGTAGCCTCTCAAGCTGAGGTTCCCGGGGGAGTCTTTCTCCGCGGTGTTGTCCTTGGTGGAGTCGAGGAGGACGGAGGCGTCGCAGCCCTGGATGAAGCAGTCGTGGAAGTGCATCCTCACCAGCGACGCCGCCAGGGTCGGGTCCGCCTGCAGCGCGGCGTTGACGGTCCCTTTCACGATCTGGTCGGCCAGCGGGCAGTTCATGACGTAGTACTGCATGCTCAGGCCGTTGGACCCGCCGAAGTCGAACCCGGCGCTGCTCATCACCACCATCGTCGCCAGAACTACCAGCCCCACGGCCTCTTTCCCCATCTTCCTGCCGCCGCCGCCAACGCAGCACCGCCACGGCTTCACTTTCGCTGCCATTTAGTATATATATATATATATATATATGTGTATTGGTATAGTGTGTTTTGGGTAGAGGCTAGAAGAGGCTCTCCATATATCTATATATATATACACGAGGCTAATATTGTGACAATTTCGATCTGACCTGTTTAATCTGTTTTAGGGTGGGTTCGACCCGCCCGTAAGTGGAATGGGCGGGCATGAGTATTCTTATCGACCTAACCTGTCATGACTCGCTCCGTTCTTGACTAAACTACATGTAATTTTAGTCAAATTATTTAGAATTTTTTTATTACATCATATTTTAGCTGTTATAAAGTTGTAAATTAGTGAAAACTTCAATTTCTCCAATAATTTAATTATATTTTATCATATTATGATTTGTTTCTTGGTCTTATAGTGAAAATCACTAATATTTTTTAAATTTTCATATAAATTATATACTTTATTGGGTCGACCTGCCTCGATCCGCACCCTATAATAAATTACTTGACATAAAACTGACCTGTCACAGCTGATATTGATATCGAGATACCCGTCATAAACCTGCACATTTACATTCCTATTGTGCGCGTACACAACACTATGTGTGTATAGATAGTGGGTGGGGCAATAATATTGAAGCGCATGGAACGAGGCTTCTAGTGCTGTGCCCAATCCCCATAGTGGGCAAGAACTTATCAACACTAAATAAAAGCAAAACAATTCACAACTATTTTTCTTTCTTTTGTTCTCACTAGAGTAGTTGAATTATTTTGTACTACTCATGAATCATGATATGATTAATATAATTCACGTTATTATATCAATGATTATAAAGCTAAATATCATTGTGAGTGCATTAAACACAATAATATATGGATGTGTACATGGTTGTGATTCTATGTTATAAAATCATAGTAGATTAATGCTATCACTTAAAGTTCAATTTTTTTTTTGTCTTAATACTAGTTTTAGAGTTGAGTGTGTTATAGTAATCTATATGTATATGGGGAGTTCTACGGTACCCAGATGAAATCCGGGGTACCGCATACCTTGAGTAAGAAAATAATATCAAGAACTTGAATTGACTAATCTTTCGGACATGATACTATACTCTAACCCTTAAAGATCAACATCTAGGTCTTAATTCTCTAAATCTTATACCCGAAGATCAATTTAATTAGAAACAATAATCGACGGTTATGATTCGTCCAAATATACGGAAAAAAAAAATCAATGCACCATCTTAGGATTTATAGTTTATGATTTAGATAATTAGGACCTAGGGTTCGCTCATTAAGGGTTAGGGTATAGTTTCATGCCCAAAAATCCTGCTAATTCGAGGTCTAGATAGCGTTTTCATACTCAAGGTATGCGGACGGTGGACTCATAAAAATGAGTGCTTACCGGCCCAACTTGAAATGTAGCCTTAAGACATCCATTTTTGAATTTTTATTAATAGCATTAATCAAAGGGCTCATACCACTACAAAACCCGAACTATCGAAAAATGTCACTTGTGACCTATTTTATTCAACATGACAATCAATACATTACCCTAAGTCTTAAACCTTCAATTCTGAACCACATCCCTAAACCAATTGTAAATCTAAACTCTAATTCTAAATTCCTATATCTTGATTGATTTTTTGTGCAAATTCATGTGTTTTCTTATTAATTATCACAAGTAACGATTTTTATCATTTAAAACAAAGCATGAATCTCCTACTCAGAATGACGATTATGAGGAAAAAATGAATGCACCGAATAAGTAATGACTGCATTTTTTAGCGTCTATCAATTTTATCATCGAATTTAATTTATTTCTGGAATCCGTAATGAAAATAACAACTCTTTATTTGCATTTTTCCAATTTTTCTATAAAATCCACTATTCTAAACTATAAATCTGGAAATAAATACATATCATATAGGAATCAATTGGTGTTGCTAAACCTTTGGAGAGACAGGCGGACTGGTTGATTGTGGAATATCACTATTCAGGGTTAATGGCAGTATGGAGTGAAGTGAAACGAAAGCAAAGCAAAGAATTAAGAAATAAAGAAAGCTGTAGTGGTCAGTGATGTGTGGCGGCAGGGAATTGAAGTGGATCATGTACATTACAATGACTAGATATGCCCGCTCGCTTGCGCTTCGCAACGAGTTCAAGATAAAATGGTAAGTATGTTGTTATGAAAAAATTAGTAAAATGTAGATCGTACGGCATAACTCTAAAAATTGGAAGAAAAATCACTAAGATTTTGAGGAAGAAGTTTGTAGTAATATATACTTGTTGGTCAATGAATTTATAAATTAGAAGACGTTGATCCATATACTTGGAGTTGGACACCTGTTACTCAGAGACGAAGTTCACGCATTTAAAATGAAAAAAGAGTTACTAAGATTTTGAGGGAGAGGTTCGTAGTAATATGCACTCGCTGGCAAATGAATTTATAAATTAGAGAACGTGTTTAAAATAATGTAAAGCTAGAAAGAGGTGAGTAAGAATGCAAAACCGAATCCAAATAAAAAGTATACATAATGACTGATAATCCATATTAGAAGATTTATCCATCATTTTTCTATTTGATCTCGAACTCAAGAGAGATGACTAAAGACGCAAAACTAAATATGAACAAATTGATAATGTATAATGACTGATAACCCATATCAGAAGATTTCATTTGTAATTTTTCTATTTGAGCTCCAAGTCGAGAGAGATGACTAAAGACGCAAAATCAAATAAGATCATAATTAAAGCAATTTGAGCATCGCAACAAATAAAAATACAAAATATTTAGAAAATAAATAATTGAAAAAGTGATTGGACTCAAATAGAAAATAGTGAGATGATTGGGTGCAGTGGTGGAGGCATGATTCGGAACTACCCTTGTCCTTTTTTCTAAAATATAAAAATATAATATTTAATAATTAATAATATCCAAATAATTTATTAATAGATAAAGAAATAAGTGATTAATACAATTATTGTTCGCATAAACAACCAATGAGTTTTCATATTATGAAAGAATTACAAAATACATTAATTGTTTACACTCTTAAGTGAACCTTTTTCGAAATTCCCACTAAACAATCATTAACAAACTGATCATCAATTCGACTTCGAAACTTGTTCTTAATATATCAATCTAAAAATGCTCTTTTTACGTTCGGATTTGCAACTGGCAGTATCAAAACTAATTTCAGAAGAAAATAAACTGACCGATATAATCTATGCACTTTTGTCTCCACCATGATCTGAGATCATTTATCAATTTCTTTCAATCCAACAAATCTCTCATCAGCCATAAATTAATTATAATACCCAACAATTTGTTGTCGAATAATAGTGTCATGAATGAAACCAATAAATTAATTATTTTTTGACAATTAATGAACAAGTAATAAATTATAGTGTAGTGCTAATATATCCTCATATGACCTATGGTGAATATGGTCTTACATTTTCCCTTTGTTTTACAGGAGAAACCATATACGCGATGGCCTTAGCATTATTGGGAGTCAGCTGGTTTCCACTGCTAATTAAGCGACAAACTCTTATTAGGCCAACTCGCAAGTGTGTCGATCCTATAGAAACGATGAAGGCCCTAACTCCTTTTGACTTGCATGTAACGCTTACTTCCACCATACAATTAGCCTTGTCGGACGCGTCAGAAGTAAAAAAGAATCATCCCATTACATTACTTTAATTTAGGCATAGCATTAACTTCCAAACTTCGCTCTCGCTTTCCCTTACCAGTTCCATTGTTTGTAGAGATAAAATATTATCTCTGTACTATTACATCAACTTTTAGTCAGATTTCCTTTAAAAAAAAAAAATTGATTTAGAACATTTTAGAGACAATTATATAAATATTGTGTTTTTTTTTAATTTATCACAATAAGGCGGATTAAAAAGTATTGACACATATATTGTATTTTGGAGAGCAAAACCAGCGAGACCACCTGAGACTCAGGTGCCGCCGCCGTTTCCGTTTTTTTTTTTATCATTTAATTAAAGTTTACAGCAGCGGCGGCGCCAAAGATCGAGGTAGTACCGCATGAGACTGAGGCGTGCTGTGGGGAAATTGTAGCTGGCGATGGCGCCCAGGACTATGGCGGGCCCGCTGGCATATTGCTGGCTAACCCCCTATATAACCAGCGAATTTCGTTTAAGTTGTTCACCACAAAAAAAAAAAAATCAACGAAGTTTGACGAGGAGAAGCTCTGGTTGCTGCTGCAAAAATGGCTAATAGGTAAGAGACACTGATGACTTGATATATACACATGTTTTTATCCACCATTCTTATGCCGTTTGAGTCTCATTTCTCGTATCTTAGACCGATTTCACGCTAGATTGTTCTCGTTTGTGTTATTTCAGGTCCTAGTACTGAAAGTTGATTAATTGGCCTATTTCCACTTTACCCGAAAGATGGTCCAGCGGACTTCCCATTTTATTTGGGCCCTTTAAATATACCCAACAACTACATTATAATACCTTTCTATTTTTTCATTACACTAGTACCTAAATTGTAAAAAAATTACAAACTGGTCCAATTTAAATCACTAGTTATTTATATATATTTGAAATTTACAAGTAATAAACTAGACGAGTATTTGGAAATCGCCACATGAACTTGGTACAAAACTAAATCTCATGAATTTGGTACAAATCCAAATATCATATGTAACTAATATCCCACACCCTTAATGAACTATCATAATATCTGTCAGATATAACGCCTCAATGTTTCATTCCATAAGAATGCACCAGCACATGAAGAAAGTTGGTGTGAGTGAGCTAAAGAGAGACAGCATAGCATAGGAACAAGATCACACAAGCCGTGTCTGGCCCCCTTTCACTGGAATAGACAAAAACATCAATCACTCATGGAAGAAGTCTTGCCTGGCAGTGGCAGGGCAGCAAACAACACATCCTTTGGCTGGAGACACGCAGAATGGGAAATCAGGATGTTAATGGTGGTCCAGTGTTCATCTTTTGGTCTCACAACGGCACCATCGGCATGGGCTCTGGTCTGGCAATAATTCACTCAAGACTCTCTTTCTACCTCCACAACAATTTCTTTAGCTATATTTCCCATCTCACAGCTACTTCTTTCTTCCCCCAGAATTGAACCAAAACTACCAGGAAAGGGGAGATAGAGAAAGGACCATCTAACAAAATGAAAGCTTTGTTTCTTCCACTTCTCTGTCTCCTGGCAACTGCTTTCTGTTTCTATTCCCATAGTTTCGGCTCGCCGTCTACTGTGATTCCCCATCCAAGTATGAGATCTATGAGAGATTGGAACATGCCCACATCTCCCACAAAACTTAGTGCATACGACAGCAACAAGGTATGTCCTTACAGTCTTAAGTGCTCTTCTTCTCTTCCAACATATCATTTCTCTGCATAACCTGCATTTGAAAGTTTAGGTGTGAACTGTAGCAAGTGTACCCCTCGTAAGAACCTACTTCACAAGGAAGGCCTCTGCATATTCATGCTACAGCTAGTTATAAATGTGTCTCAACAAACCCGGAATGCTGTCATTGTAGCTGACATTGCCTATGTATATTTCTGCAATTGCAGGATCTAGAGGAAGACAAACAAAAGAACATCAAGGCACAGGAGGAACAAATTAAGAATCTCAACAGTAGTGACCATGTCGATGAGCTTATTTACCACATAGATTACAATGGTGTGACAACTCATCCGACTCCGAGGGATAGACCATAGAATGCAATCTCAGGTTGCCAGATGGTCCCAGAAAACTTCAATATGCAAGTCGCAAGCTTAGAGTTACCTCTCAGAATCCCCCAAGAAAATCATAGAATAATTATCTTTTCCCCCCAATTCTTCTAGTATAGTTTGCTTTATGAGAGTTCTCCATCCTTTCGGGATCATTTGATGTGACTCTAATGTAAAATCGTTCATTGCTCTGTATAGAAAGTGAATGCTGCATTGTCATCAGTTGAGAGATCCATAATGTTGAGCCATTCAACAAGCTGCTCCAGTGGCTAATGGAACGAAATCCATAGCGCTCTAACCTTTTACCCATTTGGCCATGGTGGCAAAATGCTGCACACATTCCCTAGGACAAGTTTTTCTTTTGATGCAAAGAAAGTATTCCATTCTTGTATTCATTTCTTACCTTCTTGTATTTTTCAAGTAACATTTTGTAGCTACCAATTGCATCATCAAACAAGGCTTCACCGCAGAACCTGGATTTAACAAACAAGAATGAAGCTTCTGCTCTGTCTTTATGTTCAGAATATAGAGCCAATATATCCTGAATTCCTGTGAAATTTATCCTGTGGCGAAGTTCTTTGCTCGTTTCTTCCCCAGATTCAAGATGACAGAGCCATCTCAACCTTTCACACAAATTTTCTCTTTGTTCCACCTTCTTCAGCAGTTCCACTATAGCAAAACCTGTACTGATTTTGGTGACCAAAGAACTGTATGCAGTTTTCTGGTTTGAATAGAGCCAATTATTGTTATCAAGCGGCGGAGCAAGAGCACCAGCCAAACAAGCCTTACGAAAAGTTGGATCAGAAGCACCAAGCACCTCAATCACTGCATGCAATAAAGTCACAGACATTTCACCTAGACTAAGAAACAATGGTTCAGCGAGAGTGCGATCCTGCTGCTGCCATCTCAGATACCAAATATGGAGTGCAACATGCAGAAATCCTTCCCACCTGCAATTAGATAGATGCAGACCGTAAGTGAACAGGCAATATAGTTCTGAATTATAGCATTCATCCCGATGGTTCCAAACATGGAGATTAATCAAACACAATAACAGGCATTCCCGCTCAAGATTTGTATAATCACCCATCCTGCCATTGAATCCCCCCAACCAGTGAAACACAAGCTTTGGAATGATATCTCAAGTTTGAAACTGGATTACTTTGTACATACATGTAACTGATCAAGTTCGTCAGTTTTTTCGAAAACAAATGATGTCCAGTCTGAAAACATACCCTGAGGTAGGTGGCGGTACAAAAAATGTAGAAGTATGTTGTGACGTAGTAGAGTTCCAACCTCACACCCCCTTTAAACGAAAGCCACCATATATGGCTTGAAGTTTACACATGTCCGGACACCATGTGCTTAACAGAAACAGATGGGGTCATCGGGATTCAAACAAAAGACTTCTCAGTCACAGAATGCTCTGATACCATGTCAAGAATCAATAAATCCCAATAACTCGAGTTATTGGGAGAGGTTCAGTGATGGATCATATACCGTTTAGTCGTTTACTAACACCTTGGACACTGACCCAAAAAAAATTTGTCATCTCGCCTTTGTTTGTCGCTAGAAAAAAAAATCGCAAATTCTCTCTTTTTCATTGGTGCAGAATCACTTTAGCCATCTCTTTACTTCCTTGTATCTAAACTGACTCAATTTCTCAGTCCATTTTCTTTCTACAAACAAATACAACAGAGGCGATGAATATGATAGTAACCGTGATTGCTATCTCAAACACCATGGCCAAATCATTGATTATTTCCTTCATCATCTTTGGTTCCTGATCCATCTCTAGTACAAATCGCAGCATTGCAGTTTGAATAGTTTACACATATTTAATTAGGATAACTGCAAACTTCTTACTTTTCAGCGAAATTCAGGCTTGCAATTATAAAGTACTACCACCGCATTGCCCAACCCATATAAGCCCTGTTACTAAGGTTTTAACTCCGACAAGAGATAGACGTCTTAACGTTTTCTCATCACCGTTAGGATACCATGTTCAAACAGCACAGAAATGAAACAGAAGATCAGCAATTCTACAGGCTGTTAGAAAATAATTCTTTAAAATCTGTCATTCTCATCTACTACAGACAGAATTAGATTCATCATATGAAGCAGAAAATGAAATCTAGTCAGAAATTAAAAATGCTGGCTCTATGTGTGTGTCTTCTTAAAGCAATGTCTGATGGCTATGGTAAAGTTCCGTGACCCTTTACCTAAGAACACAATAGAGAAGTAAGAATCACATTATCACAAACATAAGCTGCATACTTTCAGAGAAACATGACGCGAAATGTGAGATGTAACAAGGGCCACATTAAATTTTCACTTACTCGAAAGGAGGCTCCACCTCGATACCAATTGTGAGATGTAACGAGAAATTGGAAGCAGCAGCTCCAGTCTCAAATGTGCAAGCCTCATGTGGATAGCCTCTTGGAATGTACATAATGTCGCCTTCACTAAGCAAGAACTTTCTGTGTCTATCTAACGAGCACTCAGCACTGGCACCAAGTCGTCCATCAAGTTGATCATACAACCGGGGTAGTTGCAAACTTGGAGGATAGATGGTCCATTGCTTACTACCAAACAGTTGGCATACAAATACACAGTGGTCATCAAAGTGACAAGCCAGGCCTTGAGAGTTGGGTGGGGTTAAGTATAGATTGGCCCCTACAGACGGTTGACCAAACAAAGATGCTAGAGCATCTGTTATAGCTGCAATGCATGTAAAGCGGAACTCCATGCCACGTAGGGCAATAGTATAACCACGTCTGTAAGCTTCTTCACAATTTTCAATGTCAGAGCTGCTGAGAAAATGGAGGGGCTTTGTGTAGCATGTGCTCGAGCTCTCGTTGAAAAAATGGACCTCTGCTTTGGACTGGCTTTCAGTTCTTAGCACCCGCAAGTCTTGCTGGTAAACTATTGGACTGCCTAGTTCGTTCTTCACATCCTCCAGAAAACTAAATATGTCCAACTCATCAGAATCAATAGGCAGACAAGAAACAAAACCGTGAAGCATTGAACAAAGGGAGGTGGGAAATGATTCCATAGGACCTAAACATTCAGAGAACAAGCACAGTATCTCATCGCTCTCAGTCGAAGAGCCTGAATGCCTTCTAACCATCAGGGGCGACGTCTCCCACTGACTTGATAAGAAAGCTTCAAAACTAGATTCACCCGGACCAAATATGCTCCTTTTGACAAATGCAGTTGGCAAGGGAGCAAGTTGGCTAGTAGTAAGAGAGAGCTTAAAGATGCTATGAGCCAGGCCGTTAACCCCGGTATTATTCAAACATGAGACTTGTCTGCCAGATTTTAAGCCGGTGTCATGCAACACCTGATTGTGTACTTCTGCCCATAGCTTTGTCAAAGAAACCGAAAATGCTTGCAAATCCTTCCCACAGAACCTTTCCAATTGCTCAACATTACATGCATTAACCAAAGTTATAACGGCATGTAGAAGTGAGACTGCATATTGATCTTCTCTCGATGCCAAGCTACTCTTTCTCCTCGTGTTGCCCTTGCACAACAGAGATACCACCGTCGGTGAAATATGTATCTGCAAGCATTTGGGGCTAATGGGAGCAAATTGTTATGTTTAAGAATCTCCAGTGACATGGACAAAGCAAACTCAACTATCAGTTTAACCTCTGCCTCCTATTTAAAGTGTTACAGAGATCACAGGGTTAAAGAATAAAAGGATCGTCTCAAATCAATGTATTGCATAGTCGCACATGGGAGAAAGAGGAAGAAATCAGAGCAACGGGAACACTCACATAAGGAACTGTAACGCAGAGAACTCAAGTAGCCGCTGCCTTCCAGCAGAAGAAGTCGACAAATCCAAGATAGCATTACATGCAGCCATCGAAACATTCATCCTGGAACTTCGCAAAGCATGGATTAGAGCCCTCACAACTACAGCATCCATGACAATTTCTTCATTCGTTTCAAGAGAGCACAGTGACGCCGCACCCAGGGTCTCCGAGGCGAGACGAGCGATGTCTTCGTGCCTGAGAAATAATTCGATGAATTCCCACAAAACCCAATCGAAACACAGAACATACAGAGATGGAAGAGTTGCTTACTTGGAAATAAGGAGAATGGGAAGGAAAGAGAGGAGGAGGGTAACGGAAAGCTTTTGTGGTGGGGATTGCGAGAAAAGAGATGACCGCAGGTGCACCAAGCAACGGCGAATCAATGGGCGGCGGGAACTGGAATCGGGATCGTCGGCGAGCGCTGCAAGTAGCAGTGGGGAGACGGAGGAGGCATCAATTGCATCGCCATCCTTAACATGGACTAGGCGTGGAGATAAGTTAGATTGCTTCGGCTTCCTTTTGCGGACTCCACCTTCAACCATCATCGTCGCCTTCTTCTTTAGCTGACCTAGTTACCGGCTTCGCGCCTTCAAGCTGCATATAGTATTGGGTGTTAAATGTGTAAGCTCGGACTACAGGTGGCAGGTGGGAAAAGGTGGGAAGTTTGAGACAGTATAAATTTGGGTTTGATATGAACTATGATAGAATTAATTTTGATATGTGGTTTCAGAAATTAACATTCTGCTCTCAACTATGTAACATATAGATAGATCCGATATATAGTTTGACTGTCAATTTGGATGGGCAACAACATTCACCGTTAGTCAACACATCATGTCATTGCATCGTTACCTTAAAAATCATTAAAAAAATTCAAGTTCAAATTATTTTTCTAATTTTTATTATTTATTATCAAATTAACCAAAAATAATTTAGAAAAATATAAAATAAGATAAAAATATTATTTTTTGTGTAATTTCAAAATGATAAATTTTATAAATTAGCCAAAAATTATCAAATTATTTTATATTTTTAACATACCCAAAAATAAAATATATAATTTATATAATATTTTTTAAATTTATAAAATTTAATTTGATAATTTTTGGTTAATTTATATAATTTATCATTTTCAAATATCCCAAAAAATAAAATATAATTTTTTTTTATATTTTTAAAATTTTTTTTGAATAATTTGAAAATGATAAATAATAGAAATTAGGAAAATAATTTGAATTTTTTAAATAATTTTTAGGCTGACGTGGCAATGACATGGCGTGTTGTCATCCAAATTTACGGTCAAACCATGTCTCGGACCAATTGAGTCTATATGTTGCATATAGGGATGGCAATGGGTCGGGTTGGGGCGGGTTTTGTCAAACCCAAACCCATGGGTTTATCCACCAAAAAAACCCGGGGTAAAACCCGTTGGGTTTGAAAAACTCAAACCCAACCCAACCCGCTGGGTATCCGCGGGTTCATGGGTACCCGTGGGTTTTTGTGGTAAAAATTTACAATAACAAGTTTCTTTCAAAATAAAAGTTTAACATCAATTTTCTCATACAAATTAATCATACAAAAAACACCAATCTAGAGCATACAAACAAACAGCAAATGATCAATACAAATTGTTCAAAATTAAAGATAAACATATATAAAAAATAAGATTAAATGAAAGCTTCTTCCTCATCAACTAAGTTTCTTCACTCTCCACTTCATAATATCAACTTCATTCTAAACAATTAGAAAGAACAAATTATATATGTCTCCACAAACATATAGAATATTAGTTGTTTAAGGAAGATATATTATTTAAAATATTAAATATACCGGGAAAGTAATTATATGTGTGTGGGCGGGTACCCATGGGGCGGGTTTACCTAAACCCAAACCCAACCCGACCCGGTGAATAGTGTAGCGGGTTTAAACCCGAACCCGGCCCAAAACCCGTCAACATGGGTTTTACCCGCGTTGACCGGGTTGGGTCGGGTGGGTACCCGTGGGTTCGGGTTTTGTTGCCATCCCTAGTTGCATAGTTGAAGCCAGAATGTTAATTTCTGAAACCACGTGCCAAAGTTGATTATATGTCATAGTTCGGGCCAAAATAAAGTATTAACCCAATAAAAAACTCCTAAACAACTTTACTCTTCTTGTTTGTTTGCTTATTTTGTGTATGCCATTATGGTTTGTATGAGTAGTTATGCATAAGAAGATCTAGAGAAAAACGACCCTAGGGCATCCTAGTATGTATCACTTTATATTACATCAGTATTCACCTCCTCGCTTTCTTGGGCCGCCTTCATTGGCTTTGTCGTTGATCTTTAGGACCAATTCTTTGACTTTATAGCAAGTGTTATGAAGTGCTCCTGGCTTTGGACTTCCATCATTTGTGTGAAATACCATCAGCCGACTAGTCCATCATTATTGTGGTTCTCGATCTAGGCCTTTGGCGAAGTACTTTAGTATTTGCTCCATGGTGAATCCATGATGGGGCACACCTTCATATGATCCTGGAATATCTTCCAAGCGTCATAGAATGTCTCTCGTCCATTTTGCTGGAATAGAGTGATATCATCTTTAAGCTCTTTCATCCACCAAGGTTGAAAGAACTCCTCGATGAATGCCTTCTACAGGATCTCCTAGTTGGTGAAGGTGTTGGTCTAGCCATTTCTTTTCTTTTTTGGTCAATGAGAAAAGGAATACTCTCAATCGAATGGAACCTTTGATGGCTTCGTCTCCTGGACGAAGTCTATGATCATCAATAACATCTTTAGATGTTGCACCGGATTGTCATCACTTCTTCCTGCAAATATCCCAACTTGTTGCACCATAGGCATCAAGGATGTGCGAATCTCCATGGTTGCTGGTGGCACAGCAATGCTCGAAGTAATATTATTTAAAGCTCTTGATCTTGAATACTCATAAAGAGTAGGTGGGGCCACCATTCTTTGCTCATCTCCCATCATGATTGATGTGGAACATGCTATAGAGGATGCTTCTTCTCCAAGATCGAAGTTGCAGTCTTTGTCAATTTCCTTCTCCAAACTCGAGTTTAAGTTGAGAAGAGTATTGGCTGAAGCATCCTCCTCTCCTGATCTAGATGCTCCTATTTTCGATCACAACAAGGGTGAACTCGATGCTTCTCCTTCGTTGATGATCTCCTTCACAATCTTTTGATTTTCATGTTTCTCTTCTAGTAGACACTAGACTCGTACACAAAATCCAACAATACAAAATAAAGCTCAAGAAGTGTATCAAGGTCAGGTGGAAAGTTTTGCTAGTACTTGTAACTTGTAGAAGCTTCGTTCCACCCCGAACTCGTTCATTTATCATACGCCGCTTACCTCCTCAACCTCCCTTCCTTTTTCATAATCCCCTTGGAAACAATCAAGAGTTTCCTCTTTTCGATGCTCACTTCCTCCTCCTCAAACTATTTTCTCACCTTGCCATCCTTTTCTTCAAGCACGGATTGGAGGACAAGTTGTCATGCAAGGTTCTCGATAAGGTCATCTTGCTCCTCCAGCCTCTAGACTTGGTCTTCAAATTTGATCTTGGGATGGGAAAAGGTGTGAAAGTTGTCAATGAGGCACTCTTGATCATCCTCGCCATGAGAGCTCTACGTGATGAGTTCCTCTTGATCCATACAATTGTCACTAATCGCCTCTTCAATCTCCTCTACTTCTTCAAATGTCAAGAGACAAAATCATGCGCAAGGTTGCTCGACTTTCTCTTATAGCTTCAAAATCAGGAGGGGCAGGGGTTGGTAAGCCTCATTCGAATAAGCTCGTTCAAATTTCTCCATGGCAAGCTGCAATGAACTCTTGGCATCCGGTTGTGGAGTGTCACATGGTTTTTATGAATGTCTCATGAAAGCCTACATAGCCAGCTCCAACTCGGATTTCACCTCGGGGTGTGGAAGGAAGTCTTCTTGGTATAGACAAGCTTCTTGAAATCCTCATGGTATGGTTGTTCTTCATTGAAGAGAGGTTGGTAAAACGCAAATACTTGGCTTCCACCATCTTGGTTGCCCCATGAAGCTTCTGCGTAACCTCATTTTGGTGTTGGTGGATACCTCCACATGTCGGAGAAGTCATTGGGATCCATGATTCAACCTACAAAAACAACTTCATACGCAAAGTTGGAAAGAAAACAAAACAAAGAAAGCTAAATTAACAAAGCTAAGCCTTTCCCGATAACCTAGAGTTTCCCAACAATGGCGCCAAAAACTTGACTTGCTCTAAACTACTTTCCCAATCGAGGGCCAAGTGTAACCAACGACCGAGTGTAGTTCAGTGGAAGTAAGTAATGAAAACCCATATCCCATACATTGAGACATCGCACCCAATACCAAACAATCATCAACCCACTTCTCTAACAAACTAAAACCATAAGGGGTCGTTTGGATGGGTTAATTGTCAATGTGGTATTTGTAGAGTCAAAGAACTCATTTATTGTTCATGTGGTATTTCAGTGTTATTTCAGTGGTAATTGAAATAAAGTATCTCGTTTGGTTGATCCATGCAAATGTGGTATTTGACATGTGGTATTTGGTAAAAGCAAAGTGATAAAACGAGTTATTTCGAAATAACACATGAGTATAAATTATTTCAAATAACTCGTTTTGAGTTATTTGTAAATAACTCACTGTCAAAATAACTCATTTCAGTAAAACGCTGCCAAACGAGTTATTTGCGTCCAAATAACTCATTGTGAGTTATTTGCGTCCAAATAACTCACCAAATAACTCATTGTGAGTTATTTGAACACAAATAACTCATACAAATACTCCATCCAAATGACCCCTAATATAGCTTGCTTCAAACCCATAGCAGAAACTAAAACAAGGAAATTCATACCTGCAAGAAATGCTTATGCGCTTATCAATGAAGGAGGTGAGGAAGCTATTGGTCATTGATGAGGGTAAGCGAGTGCGACGTCAATGGCAATGGTGGGGGAGAGCGAGAATTATTGAAGCAAGATGGTGAAGAAACAATTTGTCTTCGGGCTTTGGATTCTATGGATTAAAAGGAGGGAAAGCGAAAAGGGGAAGGGTAGTGATGGCAATGGGGCGGGGCGAGTATATCAATTCTCATGTCCAGCCCACGCTACTACGAGTCGGGACGGGTAAACCTCGTGCGGGTATGGGTTGACCCACTCTTACATGTTGTTTGGAAAAGATACACGCAAACTTTACTTTTTACGATAAAACAAAGGGGGAAAACACTTTATGAAAGAAAAATGTTGATAATAAAAATGAGTAATTGAGTCTAACAAGTTGGAATATCGACTATAACTAATTGACTAAAAGTCAAAATAGGAGAAATATGTATAGATACCGTAAGAAATTGAGATAAAAAGGGTATAGAACAGGGTGGAGCTGGGCAGGGAGGGTCGGAAGTAGATACCAATGCCCTACCCCATGCTACTGCGGATCAGGTAATACCCGCCCCATCGCGAGTCAAGTCGGATAATACATTACCCGCAAGACGGGTTCAAATTGAAATCACTAGGGAAGGGAGTATGACTCAAATGCGAGGGAGGCAGGGAAGTGGCTGGCGCTGAAGGGGAGCGAGTGTGGCTCAAAGGCGATGAATGGTCGGAAAGAATAGAGAGGGTGAAGGAACGATTTGCCTTTGAACTCCACCGGACCAGCGAGCTTCAGTCATCCAATTGTATATTCAAATCAGTAGGATCCATTGGGTATTTGGAATATCACCTTTTCTGAAGGCTGAAATACTAGATGGATTTAGCCCGAATTCAAATACCTACCAAACACTGAACTTTGGAATTTCAAAATCCAAATCTATCTATCCAAACCTACCCTGATGGGATTTGATATCTCAGTGCTTGCACAACTTTCTCCATGCATTTAGGTGTCTGGAGCTTTTCAATTTCATCCGCAGCGCTCAAAAGCATTCAGTGGTACAGTCGATTATTACAATGCTAATTGATAAGGGCGGCACTCTACTCCAGCTACAAAATAGCATGAAATCTCGTGTTCAAGTTACAGAAAAGACGAAACATTTACATGCAGAATAAGAAAAGTTTCCAGGCGAAGATGGCCAAACAAACAAAAGCATTTGCAATGAGCAGGTCAGGAGTTCGAAGTGGTTCAATCACAAATCAATCAGGTGTCAGTGGGGATATTGAAGGGTGAAGGTGCACTACGAAAGAAACCCCACCACCGCATCAGACATCCAGAAGAAAACCGTAAACCTTTTGCAGCATCAAGGTTCATGGTATCAAGCTACATGTTCTCTATCTGATTGATGCCAGATTCTTTCTTTACCAGACTCATACCTAACTAGAATTCGGTGTCAAAGCAACCAACCATGATTTTTGATACCATGGAACGTGCAAACGGAACATAGCTCAAGCTGTACCTGTGTATGATGAATAAACAGCAAAACCCAGAATAAATAACATGGACGAGAAGGAACTAGATATGAGAGCACGTTGAGTGTGAGGATGCAACATTGATATCATGCTTAGATAAAGTCATGGAATGCAGGGTCTAAAGTTGAGCAGAAAATAACGGTCAGGCAAACCCAAAGGAATACACAATTCCAGATAAGTCGATTAAGAAGTTAGCTAGGCATCAGATTCAACGTACCAAAATAGGGCTCCAAACTCTAATATGACCGCAAAAAGTGTCAAGATCTTGCTGTGAACCTGTTCAGTAAAGTGACAGGAGACCAGAAGATATTAGGAACAGGTTATGGTGCTTTCTGTACTAAAATTACTAAACAGGAATAGAAAAGACAGGTAATGACCAACTTACATAGACTGCACAAAACAATGCAATAATAATGCTCGCAAGGTACAGAGCTGTGGCATATATTCGAACAGGATCAAGCATCATAGTAACTTGGCGCTTTGGACCTATCAGGAATGCTGTACTGTGACAGAAAACATTCCAAATTAGCAACTGACACATATGAAAAAGCTACTGGAAAGAACATAAATAGTATGTCTACCCTGTTACTGTTTTGCCACCATGATCAATGGCAGAAATTATAAGGGAACTTCATCAGGTGCTGATGGATTGAAGAGTTGCAAAACTGAAAACAGTATGCATATAAAAAGAATGAAGAAAGCTGAACTAGCAAACCACAAAATCTTCTTTTTTAAGAAGACAGATTCCCAGAAAGTCACCACTTACAAAAAAGGCTTTCAGAATCAGACACTGCAAGCCCCATGCATATGAAGGGATTCTTGTGCACCTAAAGATAACTATGATGTTCATTAGCCCTAAAAGGCCAACACCTATGGAGGAAAACTACAAGATTTCACCCTTCCGAACTTCCGACCGGGGATACTAGGTCATGAACCAAACTGCATACAATGTGAATCTTTTATAACAAATGGCATTCCCAGTATCAGAAATTGATGTATGATTAAAACGCAGGATTGTAAAACCGTACCGGAGGTTGTATCGGAAAAGTCAGTCGGAGGTTGTACTATACAAATCATCGGCAGGGTATTTTATCCTGAAACTATGGTTTAACCGTGGTTCAACCACTTCATCCCACTAAAAACCGTCTACAAGTTTAGCCTTCGGTAGGAGGTTTTCCCGGTCGAACCGCCAGTACGATATGGTTTTAAATAGATTAAAACGCAAAACCTCATCTTAAAATGTCCTCTTCTAGATGCCACTAGGAACTTCCTAGTGGATCTATAATCAATCATGACCCAAATATAGGTCAAACAAAATCTAGTCCAAGAAAACACAAGAACTGCATTAATATCCAGATCAATATATTCAAGCGAAAGATGATACTGGACTGATGCAATTTGGAAGGGATCATTCATCGTAGAGTTAACCGTATACTCTCTGGTCAAGAATCAAATGGCGGTTATAGTCTACCGATACTTCAAAGAGGGTAATCCACATCTAATTGGAGAAGCAAAAAGGAAAACCCAATAAACTGACCTCCCAAGTGCAAGCAGATTACCAAAGGTGAATGTTACTCCAAACTTGATTGGATGGAAAAAGACCAGCATGGACTGCAAGATAACATGGAAAAGAGAAAGCAAATTAGAACTACAGGGCACCACAAAAGCTTCCACAAAATGAAAGAAACCAAAATCAATCCACCATTGCGATCATGTACAACAAGCAACTCTGATGTGTTTGTTCTCAATGAACCCCCCAGATACTTGATAAAGGGCACATTTTGAAATATCATATCAGTGACGAGAGCAATCAAGCTGGATAGACCAGGTTTTGTTTTTGTTTTCGAAAGCAATAATTCACCCATACAGTCTGTATCCAGACAAACCTTTCCATTGCCAACGGAGAGATTAAAGATCACAAATAGCAACCCAAACTATATTACGAGAAGTTGAAATCAAATAATCAATCCTATGGCTAGAGTAAAGAATTTTCAAGCCACAGCAAATTATCATTACTCTCTTACTCCACCCCGCGCCATCCTTACCAAGTTAGCATGTTCAACCTTCGGCAATTCTGCATTCTAACTCAATTTAACTCAATTCTAACTCAAGAAAGATTCAGGAATGCTATAAAGATGGACAAGAAACTTACCAAAAATGTACAAGCTAAGCCCGAAACAAAGCAGATGGCGAAACCGTATAGCCTCTGGTAGAGACAACAGATTAAGTTTCTGAAATGAGTGAAGCCAACTGCTACAGAGAAATTTGCATGGACTATTCGATCTCCTTCGGGGGAAATAGACCCACCTGCTTAGAGGAGAGGGCGCAATTTCGATTGAAGTCGTCAATGAAGGAGGACAAATCCCGAGACGGGCCGGAGGCCTGTTCCTCGTCTTCTTCCTCGACTTCCATTCCGACGAGCATCTTCATTTTCTCCAACGCCTGGTTCATCTTTTCCATTTTCGGTAGCAGTTCTCAACAGATCTGCAGAACCAGACTTTGACTTTCTAAGTTCAACTTAGCTGAGTAGCGGTGTAGTATTTTAGTTTTTAGAGTCATACTATAAAAATGCCCTCTACTACCGACGTTTTATTAAACATGTCTCTCTACTATTTTTTACATCAAACATGTCCATGTACTTTGTAAAAATGATCAAACATGCCCTTTTGTTAAAATTTTCATCCAAAAACCGTTAACCAAGGCCAAACTTTAGTTTGGGCGACATAAATGGTTAAAATATCCCTTATAAATTCACTTTATTTTTTTTTCTTTTGTATAATCAAATCATTCAAATAATTTCACTTTGAAAAAACTCAGGGAAATAAACAGAGGACAAAACTGACATTTTCCCTCCCATTTGCCAATGTCGGGTCGTCTAAATCTCAATTCAACCATGATTGCCGATTTTTTCAATGAAAATTTTAACAGAAGGGCATGTTTGATAATTTTTTCAAAGTACAAGGGCATATTTAATGTAAAAAATAGTAGAGGGGCATGTTTGATAAAATGTCATAGTAGAGGGGCGTATTATACCTATAACCCTAGTTTTTACGAGCACCGAGTATGGGTAACCTATCGTATCAATTGAAATAAGAAGAATTAGTGCTATATGTTTTTGTTGTTATATTACAATTTGAATTTGTACATTTACGTTATGATGATACAATTTTATATTGTACCTATACTATTATGTACAAATTATTTTATGGTACAACTTGAAGTTATACCGTAACATAAAGATACAAATTCTTTTATGGTACAACTAGAACTTATACATTTAACATTATAGTACAACTTCAAGTTGTACATCAAAGCACCAATACTTTATAGCAGGGTGAATTGCAAGTTTGGTCACTCATATTACACATTTGTAACACTTTAGCCACCCGAATCATTTTCACTTCAATTTAGTCACCGATAATACATGTTTATGTCATATTTGGTCACTCGCCGTCTAGTTCCGTTAAATCTTTCCTATGTGGCAGTCAACTATTATGTTTGACCGTTAAATTGGTGATGTGGAAATTAAAAATAAAACAAAAATTTTAATTTTTCCAGCTCACTATCAATCTAGGCTGCAATCTCTCCCTATCCACCGTCACCAACTCACCATCACCGATGGAAATGCTCAACATCCGTTCCGTCGACCTCTCCCTTACCCTCGACAAGGGTCTCTCCTTGAGGAGCAGATCGGGTCCAGTGCAGCCAGAGCCACCGCCGCTACGTCGCCGTGAACGAGCTCTTCGCGGGAAGCTGGACTCGAGGGAATTAGTCATGGCGGAGGAGATGATAGATTGATGAGATTGAGGGTCAGGATCTCAGTGTGGTTGGAGGGCTTCTTCTGGTGGTGCTGGTCTAGGCGTGACGAATCGACGACTTCCCTCTCATCTCCATGGACACCGAGTTTCCGGACGTCGTCTTCTGCCCTCTCCATCCTCCCGCAATCAACTAGATTACAATCGCCTGCGGCGGTGGAGGAGTGGGGAGCTTGGTCATTGCTGAGTGGAAGTGATTGAGGTTGAATTGTAGAAAGCTGGAGAATTTGTTACTGCGGTGATGGCGGAATTGGGGGGATTAGGGTTTTATATTGTGGAATGGGTAGTGGGAGGGATAGGAAGTGCGGTGAAGCCCCCCTCTGCCGGTAGTTCCCTCCCGCAGCCAATCCCCTCGCCACCGCAGCTCCGCCGTGGTTGCCATTGCCACCGCTTGCCTCCACCCTCCCCTGCTCGCTTGCTCTGTGCCCTCGCCCGCCAGCTCCTCACCGCCGATCCTCATCCCGTTTGCTGATCGCCCCCGCCGTCACTACATCTCCCGTCGCTGCACCGCACAGTAGTGTCTGTCCCCACCAGACCATCTTCTCCATCATCGATCTGCACCACCAACTCGTCGTCCTAGCCATTATCGCTGCTACCACCTTCGAATTCGCGTCTTTGCCGTGACCTTCCCTCTAAGCTCGGCCGTCTTCAATCCCTGCCATCCTCCACCGTCGTCGATCAGTGCTGCTGCCACAGTTGTCTCGGTTCGTCGTGGAAAAAGGAGAAGAAGAGAGAAGAAACGTCGTTGACGAGAAATTTTTTTTTGGAAAGGAAGAAGAGAGAATGCTCCCGTTCGTTCCTTTCTCTCTCTTCCTCTTTTGCGAGGTGGAAATTTCTAAATAAGTATGCTTTATTATTTTTTATTTTTTAATTGCCGCGTCACTATTTTAACAGTCAAATATAACTATTGACTGCCACATAGGACAGATTTAACGGAACTAGACGGCGAGTGACCAAATATGACATAAACATGTATTACCGGTGACTAAATTGAAGTGAAAATGATTCGGGTGGCTAAAGTGTTACAAATGGGTAATATAAGTGACCAAACTTGCGATTCACCCCTTTATAGCATAGTTGAAGTGCTCTTGAAATAGTTCTTTTGTTTGGTAACTTTGATAATAAAATACTGTTTGTACAAAATTGTAGCCAAAAAGAAAATTTGTTTATTGATACCTACGTAAGTTTTATCTAAAAACTGCTGTAACTTGTATGGAACTGTTTATGGAGAAGTTGAGATTAAACTTTCCATGCAGATAGAGTAGGGATGGCAATGGGTTGGGTTTTGCCAAACCCAAATCCAAACTCATGAGTTTATCCGTAAAAAAATCCAGGGTAAAACCCATTGGATTTGGAAAACTCAAACCCAACCCAACCCAACCCGCTGGGTATCCGCGGGTTCATGGGTACCCGTGGGTTTTTGTGGTAAAAAATTTACAATAACAAGTTCCTATCAAAATAAAAGTCAAACATCAATTTCCTCATACAAATTATCCATACATAAAACACTAGTCTAGAAAATTCAAACAAATCATAATTACACTAAATAAATGCACACAATTCTTTTTTTTTTTTTTTCGTTCATTCCCTTTTTGTTTGTGAGAGAGCAGCAAACCAACATACATGGTGTGTTCAACTTCAATTATTAATTTATCTCTCCCACTTCTTTTGGGAAAAAGGAAACATTACCTTGGTAAGAAATAAAATTAGGGTAGTGTTTGGGAAGAGTTAGATTGGGAAAAATTGAAATTAGGGTAGGTTTGGGAAGGGTCTGCTCATTCCACTTTGGATTGATCACCAACGTCAATCACCATAGTTTCGATTTTTGTCGAATGATGCGCATTTTGGCAGCAGTCAAAATCCGACAAATCATATTTATAAAGCAAAATACACATGTTTAACCATAACTTTCACTTTTTTGCTAATAATATCCACTTTTGGAGAAATATACAAAATAGCCAATTTCGTTCAATACTTTAACGGTGTCATCTAACACGCTGACTGGACTAACAAAAACGCTGACATGATGTCGGTACGTTGTCACGTGGATTTAACTTTAAAAATTAAAAAAGAAAATATGCAAAGAAAAAAGAAAATATATAAATTAAAAAGAAAATAAAATTCCCCTCTTTGTATCCCTTAATCTCCTCCCATGCTCGAAATAATATATATTCTGGTTTCGAGCACAGTTTTTTGTCAGTAAGCTTCTTAATTGATTCAAGAAGCTTCTTTCAAGACGAAGATGTCGATAGGAAAAGAAAATTCCGAAAACTTTTCTTTGCGCCGTTTGCCGAGCATAGTCTCGCGAAACCTTCCTCTTTGCCTTCAATTACATCTGAAAACGATTTGTAAACCTTATTATGACCGTCCCTCATTGGTTGTCCGCGAATTCCATTATCAAGAAGTTCGTGCATTTAACCCAACCCAAGCCGAAGAAACGTATTCAATGGTCACCGCTAACCGCTTTTGGTCCCAAATCTTTGGCGTTGCTTTTTTCCAATAAACGTAGGCTTAGCTAGCATTACTAGCCGTGATATACCGAACCACGACAAGTATATTTTTACCAGCTAGTCAACCCTAACATCCCGTCGAGCAATAGCCCGACGGTAATGAGTATAACGACCCTATTGTACTGATGGAGAGAAGAACCTATGATTAGCTTTTCGGGAAATTTCCAAACGAACAATTTCAACGAAATCTTCAATTTCTTATTTTACTATGTTCAACTCTCCCGGAGGTTTGCCTAGAAGCAGCCACCCTTGAAAGAGTGCGTAATAGCTCACTAATCGAGCGCTCTTGCGCCGAAGATGAACGGGGCTAAGCGATCTGCCGAAGCTGTGGGATGTAAAAATGTTCTCATCTCGATAAAAAAGTCTCTCTCATCATCTCTGATCTCATCTTCTCCGCTGCTCTCTCTTAATCTTCTCCCTCATCTTTCTTTGATCCCTCTTCACCGCTGCCTTGGCATGGCCAGTGATGGCACCATCGTGGGTTGGAGAAACGACTTGGTCCCATAGAAAGAAATAATTACTGTAAGAAATCATATTCGACCAGTAGATGTCTTGGTTTGGTGGCGACTAGTTGCGTTGGGTCGACGAACTCCGACAACCCAGAGATTATGGATTTTTGGTGGAGGAGGAAATATGGATGGGAAGAATTGAAAGCGGCGAATTGCCGCGGAGGAGGGATTAGGGATTTGCGTTCGAGGAGGAACGGCAGAATCAACATTAACTGCTCTACTCCTAACCATAACAAGCGGGGAGCCTTCCTTCCCTTCCTGATTGACAATCTCTCTCCGATAACCACCGCACTCCTCCCGATCTACGCACTCGCCACCTAGAAATCCATATTCCAACCTTAGATTGTCCTCTCACCATCCATCCCACACCACTGCGTCTCTCCCTCAATGCCGTCAGGTCGTGATTCTTCCTCGATGCCTAAAATCCAGGGCCTAGACAGACAACAATGAAGAAGAATCGAGCGCCACAACAGGGAAGGAGAATCAAACACCTCTTCTGCTTTTGACACCGTCATGGAGGTCGACAGATCCGGTTTCATTAGCAAGATGGTAGATGCGAGAGAAGAGGTCGTCGGTGTATTTGATGAGATTCCTTTTGTTTTGATTTATGCTATTCTTAAAGTGGCTACCAAACTTTATACCGTTTTTTTTTGTTTTACCTCTTTTTTAAAATAAGAATTAATATTTCTCCGAGGATAGTTTTGAAAACAAAAAACTTCAGACATGTGATTATTACTCTTGAAAAATTAACGTCTCACCCACCCTTCTCTCTGACACGCTAAAACGCAACCCAAACTGCGACCAAGTGTAATCGCAGTCCGGAAATGCAATAAAGTGGCAAGCTCTATTTATCAACCCGGGGTCTAGATCTACTGCCTACTCCTTGATTATCAATTATCTAGCAAACTAAGTCGAGTAATTGTGATTTTAAGTAAAAGTAGTAAGAAAGCAGGAAATGGTTCAAAGTTCTATAGCAAGGGAAGAGTCACTCGGGAATGAGTCCCCCTAGCTCCTTAGTTAGGTCAAGGTTGTAATTACCCTGGGTTGATTAACTGTTGATTAAACTGCGGAAGATCCGACAGTAGTTTGGAATCTCTTGTATAACCGATCGATTACTCTTGTATAATCGATCTTCCACTACCAATTGATGAAGCTCTAACAACCTAATCAAATTCTATCTATCTTAGGTTGCACCAGAAATCAAGAAAAGATGATCAGGCTTCAATTGACTCAATGAATCATGCATCAATCGATTAAAATCAATTAGTATATTAATGCCAAGTTATTACAATCAAGATTCCTAACACATGGAACTAGGGTTCTTCATACCCAAATGAGAGAAGGTTCTACTCCATAGAGAGAGATAAAAAACAGAAATCAGAGTAGTCATACTCATAAAGATGAGGATAATCTGCTCTGGGATGACGATCTTCACTCCTGGGGATGCAATCTGGGCTTCAATGGTGAGAAATCCACTCCAAATAGCTCATAGGGTTTGTTCTTCGCTCTTTCTCTCTCTAAAGCTCTGTTTTTTTATTAAAAACTCGATTCCTTTTCCTTTGGCTCGAATCTTCCTCAAAAACCCGATTCTGGGCGAAATACGGGCTGAATTACGGTCGTAAACATGGTCTGCCCGTATTTCTCCCAAAACGCGCGTTTCACTTAACACCGAGGAAGTGAATTACGGTCGTCATTTTCAGTTTACTGCCCGTAATAATGTAATTACGACCATAAATCAATCCACTCTTGCCCGTAATTTGCTCTTTGACAGACATTCTCAAGGATTTGGCTCGGCATTGCATTTACGGTCAGGACAGAGGCAATTACGCCCGTAATTGTGCAGAGGATGCCCGTAATTTGAATCTTGAATCGCCAACTGATCTCCAAATGACTCGAAACTTGCGCCTATGCATCCCTTACTCGCAAGGACCTGAGATACGACAAAACAACACAACCTAGCGAAAATAGGTCAAAGAACCACAATTTCGAGCTAAAATGGTAAGGAAACAAGAGTGCAATCATGTGCAAATACGATGCTATCACTCTCCCAGTCGTCTCCCTCCCTCTCCCTGACGAGGAGGTGTCACTGCCCTCCCTCCTCTCTCCCTGTCTATACCCAGCGAGAAGGTGTCACCCTCCTCTCCATCTCCTGACCTTCCTCTATCTCTCTCTTCCCGTCTTGCCTTGGTGAGGAGCTATCGCCGATGATTTGATGCTAGTGCGGCGACGATGATTCACCTGCATACCGCTCTCTCCCCTTCATCACGTCGCCAGAACCAGCCGACCACATTCTAGATATGTTTTTTTCCATATTGGTATGTATTTTTTCGTATTGGTATTATTTTTTATGTATTGGTATTGATTATCATGTAATGGCATTGTTGTTATCGTATTGGTATTGATCTTCATGTATTGGTATTGGTTAAATCTGCAATGGTATTAGTTCATAAGTGGTATATGTTATGGTAGTGTTTTTGCAAACGTTGTAGTGGTATAGTGTTTTATGTTTTGGTATTGATTTCTTGTTATATTTCTATAATGGAATTGGTATTTTTTGAAGTGGTAATGTTTATTTAATGGATTGATACTGATATTGATTTCTTGTTTTATTTTTACAGTAGTATTAGTTAAGCTGAACGAAGACACAAAAAAGATTGAGAAAAAGAAGGCGGAGAGGTGGCTGGACATCTGCGAAAGTGAGAGAGAGGAAGAGATAAAATTTTAATTAGTATGTTTTTACTTCCTAAAATGTAATTTTTAAAAAATTAATAATTTTCTCCCCCAACTTAGTTTTATTAGCTATGGTGATTAAATCACCATAACCTCTCCCTGCAAATGTTACGGAAACAAGCTTTTTCAAGCAACTCCTTTCGACACTGTCACGACCTAGATTGTCGTGACCGTGCTAACCAACTAAGTGAGGCGTTCCATCTGGTTATCTAGCCAGAAGAGGGGTAGAGGGGAATACTAAATCATTAAGGTGTTGTCTGCCCATGCATCATTCTGGCCGAGTTAGACATGCCGACCCGTTTTAGTCTGGGTAGATTGTCGCTTGAAACAACTCGATCCTTTTGAAACCAAAACCATAACTCAACCAAAAAAGGGTTACTCTGGAGCAACCCAAACCACGTGGAAAAGGCAAAACAATAACCAATACCTTTAAAAATCTCAAAGGAAAGGCCCTAAAACACTTGGGCGACCTCAATTCGTATCCGATAAACACAATCCTTGAGTTCCAATATACTCAGAGAGACATGAAAAGAAGACAAGAATAATAAATGGTTCCATCTCGTTACCCCGATCCTTGCGATATCTCCAAGTCTGGCGCGGCTATCCTTCTCGGGTAACCTCCTCGTGATGAATACGTCCTCCTCCCCTCTCTACACCTGGTGAGTGAGAAGCGGCCAGTCTCGTCGTTACTTCCTAAGGTCTTTACCCTAAGCATTTCCTTACTAACACATTATTAGCTTTGCTCCTGTTAGATGAAAGTCGTTCTCGCTCCCATCCTTACTATTTTATTCCAATATAACTCATATAAGTTCTCGACTTCTATCCTTATCTCATAGAAGTTCTCCACTTCTATCCTTAACTTATAGACATCAATACCAGGGACCACCGCGTTACGTCTCGCTGTCTGTTATCCCTACCTTGGTATGCCAACTGTGTTACGTCTCATCGTCGGGTTGCATACCCAAACTTGGCAATGGTGTTCGTTACTTCTCGTCGTCCAACCCATGCCCTGTCAACTACTACGTTACGTATTGCCGTCCAGCATATCTTACCATCTACCGGTCTAGTAGTGGCCAAATTGCCCGGGGTTCATCTTACTATTAATCAACTACTGCGTTACGTATCGTCGTCCAGCAATGATCCGACCATCTACTGGTCCAGTAGTGACCCAACTGCCCGGGGTTCATCTTACCATTAATCATATATCAACGCACACATTCACACATACACCAGCATAACGCGTGCCTCTATCTTAAGTAGGCGGTGGGATGTCTCACACACATAATCGCGCATAATTCAAAAAATTAACTAACGTTACTTAAAGTGAAAGCATAAACTAAAAGACATGCAACTCAGATATTATCCCCTTTACACTCACCTCGAAAAGATGACTCCTCGATTCCTTACTTAAAAAATCCTTCCTTAGCAGAATTATCTTGGGAAACCTATTAATAAAAAATTTATTTTCTTTGACGACTTTTCTCGATTTAAAATCCCTTTTTATATAATAGAACACCCTCCCCTCAAAGTCCCATCTTCGAACCTCATTTCAAAGATCCCTTAACCTCATTTAAATTTTTTCTAGAAATAATCCCATGAAAACCGCCCCTTTTTCCTAATTAATTTCGTATTGGGCGAATTTTTCACCTAATTTGAACCCCCTTAAAAATTCAAATAATAATTTTACTATATCAATCATAAAAACTTATAACCTGAAAAATTATCAAACCCATAAAAATACCTCCGCATGATTTTTATTTAATTAAAATAAATATTTGACCAATTTCTAAAATTAGTAATTTAGCTTCAAGAATCCCCAAATTAAATAACAGGCATCTCCTAGACCTCCTTCAATTTATAAAATTTCAAAATCCATAAAAACTACCTGCAAAGGTTCGAAATAATTTAACATCTTAAAACACGTTTCTGGAAATTTCGTGCAGCTTTAGTGACAACCCAAAATCTGTCACGAAAAGCCTGTAAAGTCCGTCTTTAAAACCCCAGAATTGCACCCTCACGAAAAAAAATCACTAAATCGATCAATCTAACCCGAAGGGGTCGAGTTCCCTTACCTCTAGCCTAGGACTAGATCGGATTGCTCAGGACATTGATCTCCTTGTCGATCGATGTTCGAACCCTCAAGCGTTACTGCAAATGCTATTGTACGAAAACATGAGCTTTGGATTAGACTATCGATTAATCGAGTTTAGAATCCCGAAAGGATCTGTGATCCTTACCTATGAACATGAAAAGGATGGGGTCGGGGTCGGGAAACATGGAGGCGGCGGTGGGAGAGAACTGGTGCTCCCTTTTCTCCTTCTTCTTCTTTTCGCTTGTGCTGGGGAAAAAGAATGGGGCGGCAGGGGTTTAATTTCGAGGGGGAGGGAAGTTTGCAGCAGGGGGAAAAATGAAGGGTTTGGAAAATTTTGGGGCTGCTAGGCCCTTTTGGCCGAGTTGTGCAAGTTTTTTTTTAATTAGTTAATAGTAATAATAACTATTACTAATCCACAGTCGCAATCTTTCGTACGTAACTGTCAAACCAACCGATCCTTTATTATGGTCGAACCTCAAACCAAATATCGGGCTGTGAAATCGCTAGTCGAGTACTTGACTATGAAAGGGATCATTGCGAGTAAGGGCACAACTGGTCGGGGGCTATTGCCTCCTCCGTGATGAGCCCAAGGCATGACAAAACCAGTTGTCATGCGTATGTGGGATAGGCTGGTCTCGAGGAGAGCCTCAACAAGTCGTACGAGCTTTGGAAGACTTACCCCGTGATAAAGTGGTACACGAGCCAAAACCTCTCTCAATACAGTATGGCGCAGGGGTATCAAGTTATGTCGTGGCCGGTGAGAGCACAGAGAGATCTATAGTGAAAAAGTGGGTAAGAGCGATGTGCGGCTCCTGACACATCCTCTAGGCGGAGAACGTGATCCGGCTCTATGCTGGAATGAGAGGTGGTCCAAGGGTTGTGAGAACAGTTGGTCCGGAATGTGGACACACTTGTATTGTGGGTATTGATAGCTCCACCTATGCGGGGTGTTGAGTTGGGATCATCATAGGTCATTGTGAAGACCATCGATATACAAAGAGATTTAGCGGTTGCGGGAATGTCGTTCGCCGTGGTACTAACGTCAGTAAGCGCGGAGGGTGAAGGTTGATGTCGATTGGTGATGCGGTATGTGCGCGAGTTAAGAGCCTATCCATCATGGGAAGGTGCCATATGCGAATGGCCGCGATCATTTTGTATGTGTGCAACTGTATAGTGAGCGAAAAAGAAGCATTCTTTCCCAACATGAGGGTGTGTTGCATTTTGAGTGGAGGAGAACGTCACGACCCAGATTGTCGTGACAGTGTTGACAAACTAATTAGTGAGGCGTGCCATCTGGTTATCTTGCCACACAAGATGGGAAAATGGGAGCGACTGTAGCATTAAGGCATTGTCTGTCCATGCATCATTCTGGCCGAGTTACACATGCCGACCCAGTTTAGTGGTTGAAATCCCATAATACATATATTTTTTAAAAAAATTCTCAAATTACACACGTTATAAAAAAATTTCCCAACTTACACATGTTTGTGCATCACCGCTGTTGTCAACCGCAGTGAATGCATTCACCACGACAGACCAAAGCGATGAATGCATCACCGCAGTTGACGGCCACGGTGAATGCCTGACGTAACACTGAAACTTCAAACAAACGCAACTTTGCACTCGATTATCCGATTGTAGCGAATTTTTTTTTGATTCCATATAACTTTTCAAGATCTTTCAATCTCCAGAAAGACTTAATCTAAAAAAAAGTCGTTTGTTACCCCGAACGAGCAATTTTTCGATTTTGCCAAACTTTGGAAGACCATAACTTTTAGCTCCTCAATCCGAACGTCGTAAAGTTTTTTTTTTATTGCGCATAAATTTTTAATAACTACAACTTTTACTAGGAAAGAATTTTTTTAAAAATAAATGTTTTTGGGTATACGGGATTTTGGCAATAACTTTTCCTTTACTTTTCACAAATCCACATACTTTCCAAAATTATGGTTATAATAAAAGTTGTAGTACTTCAAAAGTTATGCTAAATAAAAAAAAGTTTCAAGACATTCGGATTGTGGAGCACAAAGTTATGGTCTTCCAAAGTTTGTCAAAATTGAAAAATTGCTCGTTCGGGGTAGCAAACAAATTTTTTTGGGATGAAGGCTTGTTGCAGATTGAAAGATCTTGAAAAGTTATTTGGAATCAAAAGTTTTTTTGCTACAATCGGATAACCGAGCGCAAAGTTACGTTTGTTTGAAGTTTCAGTGTTACGTCAGGCATTCACCGCGGCCATCAACCGCGGTGATGCATTCACCGCGTTGGTCTGCCGCAGTGAATGCATTCACTGCAGTTGACAACAACGGTGATGCCCAAACATGTGTATTTTGGGAAATTTTTTTATAACGTGTGTATTTTGGGATTTTTTTTAAAAACATGTTTATTTTAGGATTTTTTCCCAGTTTAGTTTGGGGAGCTTGTCGCTAGTCGAGGACTTGACTATGAAGGGATAGTTACAAGTAAGGGCACAACTGGTCAGAGACTATTGTCGCCTCCCTGGTGAGCCCAAGGCAGTATCAAACAAGTTGACATACGTATGTGGGATAGGCTGGTCTCAAAACTGCGAGAGCCTCAAAACGCCACACGGGCTTCGTAAGTCTTATCCCGCTACAACACCCGCAGGTGCAAATAGGGATGGCAACAAAACCCGAACCCATGAGTACCCTACCCGACCCAACTCGGTCAACGCGGGTAAAATCCGTATTGATGGGTTTTGGGCGGGTTTGGGTTTAAACCCGCTACACTATTCACCGAGTTGGGTTTGGGTTTAGGTAAACCCGCTCCATGGGTACCCGCTCACACCCATATAATTAATGTTTTTGGGTTATTTAATATTCTAAGCAATATATTGTCCTTAGACAACTAATCTTCTTTATGTTTGTGGAGACATGTCTACTTTGTTCTTTCTAATTGTGTACAATGAAGTTGATATTATGGAGTGGAGAGTGAAGAAGTTTAGTTGACAAGGAGGAAAAAGCTTTCTGTTTAAGTCTAACTGAGAGTAGGAGGGAGACTCGGATGAAAGGTGGGTGAGGAGAGTAAGCAACAGGGAAGTTAGGGCAGAGAGAACTCTTAGAGAGATAAAGTTCTTAGTATGTAGAGTGAGAGAGTAAAAATGCGATCTCCTCACCCACCGGAGTCAATGCCATATTTATAGGCTACATGGAGGTGGGTGAGTATTTAGTGTGATATGACTACTGACATGTCAGGCGTTTAGGCCATACCTCTACCTAGGACTAGGAGATTAGTCCATGATTATACCTAGGACTATGATGTGACCACTCTTCGGGGAATGCGGCGTCGTTTTCATGGTTTCTTGGTCTGGTCAAAGCCTGATTGAAACGTCGTCGTTCGGCGTCTGGGATCTTCGTCTGCGAGTGCGGCCTTCGTCCGCGAGTGGGGCCTTCTCCGCACCCGTGATCTTCGCGCGGGTGCGGCCTTGGTTGTGAAGGTGCTAACGCGCCTGACTCTTCTGGGGGGCAGTGTCGGTATGCTACCTTGGCACGGCTAGACTCGAGCCATACACCCAACAATTTCCCCCCATCAGGTGGTGTTCCGCGAATGCCGCCTGTTTGATTTCGGCGAGACTGGCTCGGGTCTGCGTGATCTCCGCGAGATGCTCTGGGCCGGTTGCGTGTGACTCTTGGAATTGAGATTGGACTTGGGAGTGCTTTTTTGTTTTCCGCGAGATGGGTTCGAGTCTGTGTGATTTCCGCGAGATGTTCTGGTTTGGTTGCGTGTGACTTTTGGGATTAAGATTGGATTTGGGTGTGCTTTTTTCCTTTCCGCGGGTATGTCCTGCCCCCCAGGCGGTGCGCGGAACTTGTGACGTCAGCGGCTAGTGTCTACGCAAGGTAGGTGTCCACGTATCCTTCTGTGATTGCTCTTTCTTAGGCGGCGGTTTTGAAATTCGAAAAAACCAGACGGTTACAATTCTCGATGTAACTTTAACCTTTCGGTTTCCCTTCGTCAACTATAAATACCAGTTCACCATCGGGGGAGAAGTCATTATGCTCTCTTCAGGCTCTGTTTCTTCTTTCTGCGTTTGATACCTCGCCGAGATTCCTCTCCTTCTTCTACAACCTTGTTTTTCGCTTTTCTATTGCTAATACTCAGAGAAAAACCATGGCTAGCACCAATATTGACGAGATCGAGGTCGTGCAAGATGAAGAAGGTAATCTTTCCCCTCTTTCACATATTTCTACCGATCTTTTGCTGGATCTGGC